GAGAGGAGTCGGGGTGGGGATGGATCCAATGCCAGGCTGGGAGAGCTGGGAATGGAGGGAATTCCCTGGAGAGGGAGCCGGGGCTGGGATTTTGGGAAGGGATTCCCAGAGCAGCTGGGGCTGCCCCTGATCCCTGCAATGGCCAAGGCCAGGTTGGGCACTGGGGCTGGAGCAGCTTGGGATGGTGGGAGCTGTCCCTGCCCACAGCAGAGGTTGAAAGATGATTTTTAAGCTCCTTTCAGCCCCACATCTTGTCATGGCTTTAATTCTAAGCCAGGCCTGAACAGCAGTGACTGTCACTGCAGGACCATCCATTGCCACCATTGTCCCAAGCTGTGTTTTACTGGCAGCATTTTCAGCAGGATCTCCCTGAGAACAGGAGTTGTTAAAAGTCAAACTGAGAGGTGGATGTGAAGCACAAAGCTCTGCAGTGCCCCTGTTCATTTATTGTCTGGGCATGTTGCTCTCAGGTTTTTGAAGTCTCCAGGGCTGCTGAGCTCACACCTTTCCATCTCATCTTTTCATGTTTTGCTATCTTGGCCTTCAGCCACCTCCTGAATAGTCTGGGTGATTCATCATCTTGCTTTTTGCTCACAGATTTTGAATTTTGATGCTGTTTCCAAGCTCAGCTGTGTTGTGTGAACGCCCATGAACTCTTTGCCCCCGAATCTTTCTGCATTTTGAGTGCTCACACTTGAGGGTATGGTGCCAGTAAATAACTCTGGCACTTGTGGCTGGGGAGTTGTTTGAGCTGCTCTGTCCCTGCAGCACTGCAGAGTTTTTGGGCTCCTATTTTGCACTTCCTGTGCAGTTTGCTGTACCTAAACTTTGCAAAACAGGCACCAAATTTTTCTTACTTCAGTTTGTTTCCTGGCTCTGTGGCAGTCTTAGCTTAAAACCTTTCCCAGAAGTGCTTTAGGAGCAGCAAATTTCTACCCTTGTTGGGTTACACACTGACCCTTCTGCCTTTGAAAATTCATTTAACATTTTCAAAGAAAATGAGAGCATTCTGCTGCTTTCCAAGGGTAAGAGTTCATCCCAGGATTTATGGACAAAGCTCGGCACTCTGAAAGCAGAGATCAATTCCACTAAATTTGAAATCAACTGTAGGCAGTGTTCTGGTTCCACACAGTGTGCAGAGCTTTGCAGAGGTCAGCACCAGCACAGAGTGGTGTGACCTTTGGGTCCCACCTAGGAGAATGACTGGGAGGGTGAGGGACCTTTTGGTATTTCAGTTTGCTTATTGGTTTTGGTCAATATGTATTGAAGTGCTTTTGACCTGATCTCACAGGAGGCCCCAGGTCTGGTTTGTCATCAATCTGTGTTACACTCTGAGGCTTGTTCTTTGTGTTCCCCTCTGTGCAAGGGACAGAGATTCCAGATCCTTCTGGGGCTCATAGTCTCTGCTGCTCAGAGTGACCCTGAGATATGTCAGAAAGTCTCTTTTCCCAGCCTGGCAGTCAAAGAAGAAGTCAGGATTCTTCTGTTCTCATTCTCAAGGTTGTTTTATTATTTTTTTATCTACAAAATTCTTTCTCTGGCCTGCTGAGGTCTGTGCAGAAGGACAGACAGAGACACACTGGCCACCTTGGGGTGGTGTTAACATTTTATACTAAAAACTACATGTGCATTATTTACCATAACTTCCCAATACCCATCACCTATGTCAGACAGTGAGCTTCTACCTTAAACCAATTCAAAAGTGCCAACACCAGCCAGAAGATGGAGGCCAGGAAGAAGAAGGACAGGGTGCACCGAAATTCCTCCATCTTGGGACCCCATTCTAAAAACCCCAAAATCGATTTTTCCCCCTATGACAAACTAACTATTATTCTACTTAAACTCTCTTGATTTGTAATTGTTCATATAAAGGTGGTAATTTTTTCCATGGGTGATAATCAAAGTCACAGGGGGGTCTTGTGCTCTGTGCCAGGGTCTCTGAGCCCCCTGGCAGGGGCTGGAGCCATCCAGGGCAGCCAGAGGGATGTCCTGGGTTCTCATATCTGGGGATTTGCCTTTTGCAGTCAATTCTTGTGTGGACTCCTGGTGGGAAAGGTTTAGATTTGGGTTTAGCTACAGAGGTGTTGCCTCTGTAAAACTGAATTATGAAGCAGAACCAATTTGGGCTCTCAAGGGAAGGTTTTTTTTTTTAAAGATCTGCTGTTCATTCCTTGCCCTGCTCCCAATATCGTGGGCTGGGCTCTCTGCACAAATCACAAACAGGACAGGGCTGCTGGGAACGTGCCTTGAGCTGTTTGATTTTCCAGCACCAGCCTCATTCCATGGCTGTGGCAATGGGAAGGTGCCCTCAGCTCACAGCCCAGGCAGCAGACACAGAACTCAATGTCACAGCTCACTTTAACAGTTCTGTGACCAATCCCACAAAGCCAAAGCACATTGACAGCAGCTCCATCCAACCACTGGAAGCACAGGTACCTTTGGTTAAACAATGCTGGCTTATTTCAAACCCAATTCCTGCTTGTGAGCCTCAAACACAATGCACAGAGCTCCGTTATTAACTTAGAACTCCCTGATATCTCACCAGATAAACTTTTCTGCAGCTTAGGGAGTTATTCTGGACAAGCATCAATACACAGACCATTGTTTTATTTGTCTTTAATTTTTTATTTCTTACACAATTTTTCTGCTGCCCAATCTCATGGCTGCTGCTGAGCTCCAATCACAGTTCTGCCTTTTGCAGCTTTCCCAAATCCCTCTGAATTTATGGATTCCCACCCCCAGCTGTGGATGGAGTTGATGATCTTTCTTGCAAGGCCAGGAGCAGGAATGTCTGCTGAGATTCCTCCTGCCCCCGTGGTTGTTTGCTGACCTAGTTTGGCTCTCTGGAGCTGCAGTCCATTGATGAAGCAGTGCCAGGCCAGTGGAACATTTCCAATTAATGCATTGAACAGGGATTAGATGTGAAATTGTCTCAGTGTGTGTTTTACTTTGCCTCTGCTTTTTAGGACACTCCTAGATGAGGGTTTTTTGTTGGCTGAGGATTTTTCCATGCTCCTCTTTTCAGAAGGACATTTTGGAGTGCAGTGTTGAAATCTCAAACTCTCCAACCTCTGCACAGAGGCTGTTTTATGGAGCTGGTTTTATTTACCACTGTCCAATATTGGTCCACTGATGTGTTTTTCACATAGATTTTTTTTTTCAGGTGAACAAGGTAGGAAAAAGTGCAGCTGAAGTGGGATTTGTGGAGTGCTTTAAAGGCTCATTATTTAAAAATAAATTGAAGGGCTCCTTCTGAGTGTCTCTCTTCATGTGTAATTCAGTGAGAGCTCAGCCTGAGAAAAGGTTGGGCCCCAAGTATTCATAAGTTATCACAAAACAAGAGTGGTGTGAAGGCAATGTGTGAAGCTGTGCTGCTAATTGCTTCCACATTTTAGCATGGATTGTTGATTTGCATTAAGCAGGAAAAGCTAGGTTACACTGACCTTAGCAGGGAGAATCTGAAAGCAGGGAATGCTGTGAGGTGAGGGAATGGAGAAGGAAAATTCTTGGTGTTGCCTGAATGGAGAAAAATTAAAGATTTTGCCACTTGGATGATGGCATCAGGCTCAGAACCAAACTGCATTCCAGTCTGGGTTTGTAAAGGCTTGATAAATAATGGAAATGCTGCTTTGAACTCATAAATGTTCTGATTAAAACTTCCAAAAAAACCCTGGTAATGCTCAAGTTATGGGGAAAATGGTTTTACTCTTAGCTGGTCTTGTTTCAGAGAAAAAACCCACCAAATTTGAAGAAAGGAGGAGACTGCCAAAAGATTTAATAGGCAGATGGAAAATGTTTGCAGCAGGAAAATTAGCGGTGGCTTATTTGCTTCCACAGAAAATGAGATTCTTGCTGTTTGCCAAAATACTGAATTGGTTTTTGGGAAATGGCTTTGGTTGTGGTTAACAGGACCTGAGTTTCATTGGATTGTGGTGCTTCGGCTGAATTTTCACATTAAAGAACATTTCACTATGAGAGAAGTTCAGTTTTTAGGCTCTGTTAAGTTCCCCTCAGGCCAAGACAGCGCGAAGAAAATCAAATTTGGTGATATTTTTTGGAATTCCTAATAAAGTAAATCTGGAATTCCTACTAAAGCCAAAAATGGGGAAGGGCTGCTCTCACTGCAGGGACAGCTGCCATTAACCCTTGCTGTGCTGCTGCAGGTGAAGGAGAACCTGCTGTCCTGCAAGATGCTGCTGCACTGCAAGCGGGACGAGCTGCGCAAGCTGTGGATCGAGGGCATCGAGCACAAGCACGTCCTGAACCTCCTGGATGAGATTGAGAACATCAAGCAGGTCCCTCAGAAGCTGGAGCAGTGCATGGCCAGCAAGCGCTACCTCAACGCCACCGACATGCTGGTA